AAAAGTAATTTTAATGGGAATACAGCAATCAATATTTGGCTTTTAATTAGGTTTTAGTGGGGTTATTTTGTGTATTTTTGTATGACTTTTTGTATCTTGTATATTGTATTTGTGTTTTTAATATGCTGTGAACCGCCCTGAGTCCTACGGGAGAAGGGCGGTATACAAATTAAATTAACCTTAACCTTAACCTTAACCTCAGTGCCGAAAAAAATAACTTCTGACGGGCACTAGATGGTTGTAAGTCAAGGACTTACCTGTAGTTGGGGCAGACTTCCAGGGAGTCTTGAGAAGGAAGGAGGACAATGGAGGCCCACCTTGCACCTTGGGAAAGAAAGAGACAAGTTTGGTGAACAACTCAGGGAAGCTTCCCCAGACAATGAAGTTGAGTTTCTTCTAATGTTCTGGACCCCAAATTAGCTTCTTCAGCTACAGGCCAGGCCAACTGCACCCCGATCTAGTTTCCGTTGGTCAGGTTGCTCTAGTATCTCCCTAGGCTTTATTGAGTCCACCAGAGTTCGTGGAACCGTATTGAGTGGGCCGTGCGCGTCTCCAAGGCTGCTTCATCCTCACTGTCTTTGGCCAGGGTAACACGGTGGAGCTGCCAGAAGAGGAGAACACCCCGGAGAAGAGGGTGGACCGGATTTTTGCCATGATGGACAAAGTGAGTCTCCTTCTCCATCTTTCTTGGCTACCAGCAGGAGGTGACCCCCATTTTGCTTCGTTCGGATCCATATTCTTAAGACAGAGTTGAAACCCAGCCAGCCTTAAGTTTCCAAGGTTGAAAAGTACTAAGGTGCTGAGCTAGAAAGCAGGAGGAGGCTGTGAGTTCCAGTCCTCCCTTTGGCAGGAAATCTGGCTGGGTGAGATAGATAGATAGATAGATAGATAGATAGATAGATAGATAGATAGATAGATAGATAGATAGATAGATGGATGGATGGATGGATGGATGGATGGATGGATGGATGGATGGATGGATGGATGGATGGATGGATGGATGGATGGATGGATGGATGGATGGACAGATGAGAGAGAGAGAGAAATATAATAATAATAATAATATTAACACATACAGGAGATTTAATCCTGTGTATTGATTGTTCTTTTGAGTCCCTGTTCACAGTCTCATGAACTGATCTATGAGCTACCTCATTAATTCAGCACCAAGAAGGAGGGGGGTTATGGACTAGATGACCTCTTAGGACCTTCTCCACCTGCCTTCCCTAACGTCTGATTCTCCTTTTCTTCCAGAATGCCGATGGGAAATTAACGTTGCAGGAGTTCCAGGAGGGTTCGAAAGCGGACCCTTCCATCGTCCAGGCCCTTTCCCTTTATGATGGACTGGTATAGTCCCACAAGCCATGCTTTGGTGAGCATCCCCCTTTCCAGGGTAGGAGACGATGGAGACCTTCTGGCTTCGCCCTCTGAACTTCCCATTTAAATAAGAAAAATGACCTCTCCCCCCCCATCCAAAAACTCCTCATGAGACTTAGATGCACAATAGTTTTTATTGACTTGACTTGACTACCTTCTCATTTATGTGACTTCCTTCCTTCCTTCCTTCCTTCCTTTCCTGTTCAGCATCACTCCTTCCTTCCTTCCTTCCTTCCTTCCTTTCCTGTTCAGCATCACTCCTTCCTTCCTTCCTTCCTTCCTTCCTTCCTTCCCTGTTCAGCATCACTCCTTCCTTCCTTCCTTCCTTCCTTCCTTCCTTCCTTCCTTCCTTCCTTCCTTCCTTCCTTCCTTCCTTCCTTCCTTCCTTCCTTCCATTTTTATGGCCGCCGTCTCAAACCAGGCGAGTAAAAGACTAATTCATTTCTAAAAAGTTACCAAAGGCAGGAATATGAATTATCTAAATATATAAAATAGTAAGGCCCATCAAATCGAAGGAGCTTCGGGCTTTTAATCCGCCCTTCCTTTTCTCCCTTCTCCTCTCCAGACATTTGGAGAAGACCTTCTTCCAGTGACATCAAGCTGCCCACCCCCCAACAAGACCCTCGCCGGACGTTACTCTCCTGTTACTCGCGAGCAAGGGGCACGTTCCAAGTTCGACCTCGGCCTCAACAACCTCCTGCTTGGAATCCACCATCGGCCCCCATCGGCTGCTTTGATTATCATCCTTTTAAAAGAGAGACAGACGGAGGAGGACGGGCGAGGGGTGGGAGTCCTACATCGGATGGAGGCGGTTCACGCACATTTCCCTGTCTCCCCCCCCCCTTTGTGTTTTGTTTGGAATGAACTTGAGACTTCATATTTCTTCCCTGGGGGGCGGTGGCAGCGGGATTGAAGAGACCGAGAGGCCACTGTTAGATCGGATGGGAAAAGTAGGGAGGGGAAAGTGCAGTGGGGGGAGAGGGTCAAGGGCTTAAGCAAAAAAAAAAATAAGGCTCAAAATCACTTTGAAAACTCATTTTCTCCACATCATCTGGATTTTGCATCGCTGGGGGTGGGGGGTGGGTGGGGGCAGGTCTGCATGTACAAAGACCCTTTTTATGTTTGGAGCGACGCAGGAACTGCCTCGCCCCTCTCCTTGGGATATGATTTGCCTGTGTGTGTGGGTGTGTGTGTGTGTCACAAACCTGCGGTGTTTCTCTTTGCGACCGCCACCTATTTATTTGACTCTTTCCTATTGGGTTGTCGCTGAAGGATCAAACCCCGAAAAAGGGGGTGGCAGTCTCGTGGTCTTTTTTTCCTTCGCAGGAGAAATTTAAGCCAAAAAGGAACCCTCCCCCCCCTTTTTTTTTTTCTTTTTTCTTTGCCCTGAATCTGTAATCACGCACACTGCAGCCTGGCTGAAGTTGAAGGGGGTAAATTCCAACAGCCCCACCTTTTTTTTTTTGTCTCTTTGTCTTTTATTTTTTGTTGTTGTCGTTTTGTCCATCACAATTGTTCTGTGATGCTTCACTTTGGGGGGGGGGTGGAGAGTTGGGAAGTCATGCATCCTTGCCTTGCTTTAATGAGCTTTAATGCTCGGATCTCCGATCTCACAAACGTCCATGCCTGCATATTAAAAAAAAGGAAAAAGGACCCTTATTTCTTTCTTTCTTTCTTTCTTTCTTTCTTTTTTGGAACAGAACTCGGACCCTTCCATAGTCAAGGGCTCGGAGGCATTTCTAATTTCTTTTGTTTTGTTTTAAATGGACTACCTTACATTAGGGTCAATATGAAAAATATGTAGGAATGGTTCCTTATTTTAGAGTTAGGAAGGATATTGCAAGAACAACTTCGCAACAATACAGTCAATGGCTAAATATTATTAATTAGACTTCACGGAGAACCCTTTGACACGATCGTTCAAGTTTATGGTACAGCCACGGATACAGATGAGGAGGTTGATATGATCAATTCTGATTAAAAATCGACAGAACATGCAAGCTTGATCAGACTGCAATAGCAAAGTTAAAACATAAAACAGGAAAATGTAACTAAACGTGGCTTGTTATTCCATTCTACTGCGCTTCTTTCCATATTGAGAGTATAATATCTCATTGAACCACTAGGAGGCAGTAGTTCCTGTTATATTGTCCTGTTTTCAATACTGTACTGAGACTGAGTTTATCGCAATCCTTATAAAATACTGCCCCCTGGTGGTTCAATCGTGTACACCACTGACATGGAATATAGGGAAATAGAATGGAATTTAAAGGACAACCTGCCCCCTTATGGCTCAATCTATGTATTGCACGTACAAAGAAGAACAGGATAGTCTAATGCAGTGGTTCTCAACCTTTTTAATGCCGCGACCCCAACCGGTCGTAAGTCGAGGACTAAACCGGTCGTAAGTCGAGGATTAAACCGGTTGTAAGTCGAGGACTACCCAACCGGTCGTAAGTCGAGGACTTTCCCTGCCCGGGAGCGCCGCGCATGCATGGTTCCGCCCCCTGCGCCGGCCGAGGCGTAGCTGGCAAGCGGCAGAGACGGAGCAGGCCGACCACCAGCTGGCCCAGCCCAAGGGAGGTAAGGCACCCGCTGGAAAAGGGGGGAAAAATGGCGGACAAAAAAAATGGCGGACAGCCTTGCTTGGCGACCCCCATGAAATGGTTGATCGACCCCAAATGGGGTCCCGACCCACAGGTTGAGAACCACTGGTCTAATGTACAATTACAATGGGATTGTAATACCAAGGTAAGCCATCAGGGAATCCCCCCCCCCCCCCCGCTCTGCAATGCATTTCCTGCATTCCCCAGATGCTCTGAAACTATGTTGCAGTGGTGTTGTTGCAATACAGTTTGTTTGATCCTAGGTAAATGATTTTGTCTAAAAACAAAAGTGAAAGTAAACAATATCTACCAAAGCTTCAATACATTTCTCCAAATGGCTAGCAAGTATAGAACGCCCCCTTTGGATGTGTTTCACATCAAGCACACAGTGCCCCCTCGTGGCTCAGCTGGGTACTGCATTTCTCTGAGTAAAATAGGGCACGTTTTAATAATTTAGGAAATGATGCCATTTGTTGGCTGGCGTAATGGCAGGGCAAGGTAATGAATCTCTAGGACGGTGTTCCTCAATCTTGGCAATTTTAAGATCAGTGGACTTCAACTCCCAGAATTCCCCAGTCGGGGAATGTGTGGACTTCAGTTCCCCTCAATTTTACAGCTAGGAATTCTGGGAGTTGAAGCCCATACATCTTAAAGTAGAATAGACCCTTTGGATGGAGGCTTTTCAAAACAGAGAAGGCGAAAAGATGGAAGAATACAGAATAACCGTTGGAAGGGACCTTGGAGATCTTCTAGTCCAACCCCCTGCTCAAGCAAGTGGCTGTCCAATCTCTTCTTAAAAGCCTTCAGTGATGGAGTACCCACAACGTCTGGAGGGAAGCCGTTAATTGTTCTCGCTGTTGGGAAGTTTCTCCTTAATTCCAGGTTGCTTCTCTCTTCGATGAGTTTCCATCTGTTGCTTCTTGTTCTGCCTTCTGGTGCTTTGAAGAATAGGTGGACCCCCTCTTCTTTGTGGCAGCCCCTCAAATATTGGAACACGGCTGTCATGTCACCATTAGTCCTTCCTTTCATTTAGACTACTAGACTTACCCAACTCCCTCAATCGGTCATTGTACACTTAGCCTCCAGACCCAACCAATAAAAAAAAAAACTGCTTGCTTCTGCTTGTTGCTGGCTAAAATTCTTTCTCGAAGCATCAAGTTATTCCAGTTATTTTATAACCTAACGGTGCTGAATTCCAGCAGAAAAACCTGGAATATGGACAGGTCTGGCAGGTCTGGAAAAAGGGAGAATGTCCAGTATGCTCAGACCTTGCACCCCAAGCAGGTGACCCTCTGTTGCAATGAGACTTTATCTCTTCCCGATTGGTCACGAGGTATAGATCCGTCCAGAGAGCTGCCAGATTCTTCTCCCCACCTGGGTGCTGTGCGGGATGGCGCAAGAGTTAAAATAATAACTAGGGCAGGATTTTTTTCCCCTCTTGGCTGTGGTTCAACTGGCTTAATTTGGCTCCAGAACTGTTGGCGAGGTTTAAATAACTCAATCTCCCCACTCAAAACTAGCCAGGATGGTGACCAGAAGGCGAGAGGAAGGGGTGCTTGCTGAGGTTGGACTGTGCCCATCCTAGCTCCTCCTCCTTAAACAATTGGAGGGGGGTATATATTCTGGGATGGCTGGAAGCACAGAGAGTTGGTGGGCAGCCCCCTGACTTTAATCTGCAGCTGAATATTATTATTTTTTTGCAGGTGAAAAAACGGTAAGTGATTGTGCAAAAAATGGGGGGGGGACCTTTAACGAAGTTGCAAAAAGCTTCTAAAAAAGTTTGGAAGAGTTTTAAAGAGGATTCAGGAGAAAGCATGAACGTCTGCTTTAAGGGGCTTGATGATTAGAAAGCAGAGAATATGACAAGAAGGAAGCCACAATATAAATAGAGAGAAGATAAAATATAAATGCGTGCATAACGGATTCAAAGAAGATCAGAAACTCTATATCTTTTTTTTTTTAGATAAGCTAGATTAGAAAAAGAAGAGCATTATAATGTAACTTTAGAAAGAGAGAGAGATTAAAATAGAATTGTGAAGAATATCAGGAGACCCTTCTCGGTATATTTTTTTCCTCTTTTTCCATTTTCCTTCCTCTTTTCTTGCCCTTTTTAATTTCTTTTCCTTTGTTCTTCCTCATTTCATAATACGTTTTTCATCTTTGATTTTCAATTCGTGTTTCCCCCTTTTTTTCCTCCTCTCTTTTTTATTTCCTACAGACTGACGGATCCCTTTTCCTCCTTTTGCTTTTCTAATTTTCTGCACCTGTTGAATAAAACTCTGCTGCTGATTTTGAAAGAGAGGGAAACTGGCAGAACAAAAGGAAAAGCCGAAAGTTCTCTGTGCCCCCAAGTTTTAAACAGGAGACCGTATCCGGCAACTTGCCTGGAATAAGAAAATAAATTGCTGTTTTGTACAAGGGAAGTGAAAGTACAAACTGGGGTTGTTTAAAGTAGCCAGTGGACAAATCTTTGTTTTGGCGGGTGCCAATGATGCCCCAACTCTGCCAGCCCACTTCTATGCCAAGCTGGACATCCTCTATTGAAAAAGCCTCTGTGGGGAAAAAATAACACAACCTTTTTTTCTGAATTGGGTCAGGCTGCATAATAGAATCAATCTCTTCAGTCAATTCTATCGGTCAGTTTAAGCACCCGAAGGCAGGAAAAAGAAGCAACAGATGAGAACTCATCAAGGAGAGAAGCAACCTGGAACTAAGGAGGAATTTCCCAGTAGTGAGAACAATCAGTCAGTGGAACGGCTTGCCACAAGAAGTTGTGGGTGCCCCATCACTGGAGGCTTTTAAGAAGAGACTGGACAGCCATTGATCTGGAATGGGATAAGGTCTCCTGCTTGAGCAGGGGGTTGGACTAGAAGACCTCCAAGGTCCCGTCCAACTCTGTTATGCCGTTAAAATGGGGCAGAACTTACTTAACAACTCTCTCGCTTAGCAATAGTTGTGGTTGTAAGTAGAGGACTACCTGTATTTGCAGATAATCTGCACATGGGAGGGTAGGGTGGAGACCATACAGAGTGCATAGGTTGATGAATTACAACTCCCATCAGCCACAGTGAGGATGAGGGGTTCTGGAAGTTGTATTAGAAGGAGGGAGCCTATTCCTGAGGCTGTGAATTAAGTAAATTTTTTTGAGCCAGGACCATCGTGCTCATGTTGAATCTTGTGGCGGTGAGTTCCCTGGGTTCAAGACATGCGTAGGTGCAAATATTTGTTCCTCCAGTCTTTCTGGTATGGCTCTTTCAGCTGCTTCATGAGATTGATGGTTGAGTTGAGCGTCCAAAAGGCCTGGATCAATTATTCTATGAATATAGGTTGACCTTGATTTGTGTCCACAATCGTAATCAGAATTTATACTGCTAAACAAAATGGCGGTTAAGTGTGAACTTTTTTGACATAGTTAAGCAGACCACTCTGCTTGCTGTTAAGTGAACTGCAAATCCAGCTCATCGGCTCTTTTTAGCCTGGAAAAAAGCCGTTGGATCCTGAAGCCTGTTTATCTGATGGGGAATTTTCTTGAACTGTCCTTCGGGTGGCATATATAAGTCCAATAAAATATTATTATGATTATTATAGACTCAATGTCTCAGTCCAAAGGCCTTGTGATCCTGGCCTACAGTGGTGGTTTGGATACGTCCTGCATCCTGGTTTGGCTAAAAGAACAAGGTTATGATGTCATCGCTTACATGGTAAGACAATTTTTCAAGGTCTCTGAATGAGTGTTTTTCAAACGTGGCCACTTTACGGGTGGACTTCAGCTCCCAGAATTCCCCACCAGCGTCCTTTAGGAGGTGTGAACTTCTACTTCCAAATTTCCCAGCATGCATTCTGGGGCATTCTGGGAGTTCAGGTCCACCTATCTTAAAGTTGCCAAGTTTAAGAGGTACGGCAATGGATTCACTGTGAAGGTTGCAAGGACCGCAGGTAGAAATTCAACAGGTCTAAATCTTGTCTCGTGAGCGGTTCAGAGTGGAACCATCAGCCACACACCGGGACCAAGAATCTCAACCTCAGCCTTATCTTTCAGGGGGCAAACCTGATAGGTTGGCACCTACCTAGCTAGCAGCATGGCTGGGAACGATGGGATTTGATAACCAATCCTGCTGCAGGGACCTGGGAGAGCAAAAGTAGTTTTAATTAAATATAAATTTCATTTTAAAGACTTGGGACCGTTTAAATGGACACACACAGAAATCCAGGACCTGAGAATAAATATCTGTGATTTAAAAAAGTTGCAAGCCACAAAGTGTCAAAGGGATTTCAAGAATGAAGAATCATCAAAAAAAATAGCCTTATTTGTCAAGACAAGGTTCAGACGGTCTTATGATGCAGCCAGAGCCCTACTTAAAAGAGGACTTTACCCCTTTGGAGTTATTTTTTTTTCTTATTTGTTTTTTGGACTTGTTTTTACTGCCGCCCAAGGACAAATTCTGCCGTTGTGTCCCCTGCAGGAACATTGTCTAAATGGCTGAGCTGGAGACCCTTCC